AAATGCGGCCCGCAGAATGGACCGCAAAAGTGCTCCCAAAATTTGAGTATTCTGTCTGGGTATGCGTTATAAATGCGGTCCGCATACCCGTTCTGCGGTCGCATAATGCGCCCCAGAACTACTCCTTACAAAACCCTAAGGAAATTATGCGACGACTATGCGGTCCGCATATCGATTATGCGATCGCATAATGGACCGCATATTTAACCTCAAATTTGACTAACACACTGATTCACTTTGTGGTGACTATTCCCTCTATGCGGTCTGCTTACCTGATATGCGACCGCATTCTTGACTGCAAAATCGCACTTCTCTGGAAATTCACGGGGCCTTACAGCTTGGTTGAGTTAGAAGGATTCAGTACTGACGGTTTAGTTTTGTGCAAATGGAATTCGTTGAGTTCTTGATGGTTTCTACCACGGTTAGAGTTGTACATTTTTTAGGAGCATGGGATGTGTAGTGATTTTCTTCTAGATGGGATTAATGGAAAGTTCTTGGCTAGTGAGAACGAAGTTACTTGTGGCTCGGAAGGATATGAAGTTCTCATGTTTATCCTAGGATGGTATGGTATATGTGGTGTGTTGTATAGGATTGAGATTTGCATGTGTAAGGTCACGGTTCAGTTTTGAAAGGAAGGTCACAAATTCTTAGGTAGCATGGACAGTTCAGATGACTAGATAAATGAGATCACTGATTGGTGTGGCTTGATGAGGGTATACATTTTAGAAAGGGCGATGTGTTTGAGTTGAGGATACTTCATTATTATTGCGACACTCTCTTGTTGGATCGACTACTGATATTCGAGTTTTCTTGGTAGCACAGAAGAATTATAGGAGTACCTCTCATGGGATATTGGGTATTAGAGGTGTGTTGTATATTCGGGCGGTGAAATTGGGATCAGATATGGTGATTCGTGTGCTTTATGGACTTGGACACTTGGAGTTCTCATAAACAGGTTAGGTTGTGGTTGTGGGCCGCGTATATCGGTCTAGTGTGGTAACTATTGGAGGTTTAGAGACCCGAGTGGATCCTTGTTGCTTAGTAAGCTAGATTTTGGTGTGATATTGGGTATGGACTGGTTGTTTCCATGTCATGCTATTCTGGACTATTACGCTAAGACGGCAACATTGGCTATGCTGGGAATGCCACGGATTGAGTGGATAGGTTCAATGGATTATGTTCCCAGTAGGGTGGTTCCATTTTTGAAGACCCAGCGGATGGCTGGGAAGGGTTATCTTTCTTATTTGGCCTTTGTGATGGATGTCAGTATAGAGACTCCTACCATTGATTCAGTTCCTATGGTGAGGGATTTTCCGGATGTGTTTCCTGCTGTCGGCATGTCATCGGACAGGGGTGTTGATTTTGATATTGATTTGGTGCCGGGCACCGTATCGTATGGCCCCGGTAAATTTAAAGGAGTTGATGGAGCAGCTTTAGGAACTCCTTGATAAGGGGTTCATTGGTAGGCCAATATGGATGTGTGTTCTACATCAAGTCGGCTTGGTTGACTCCGAGTTGTATTGTCGAGGGATGTGTTGATTTGATTATTATTGAGATTATTAGTGATCTGGGGAGATCTATGAGTTACATTTCCATGTTGTGAGGCGTTGGCACATATGGTGCGGTTTTATTGGGGTCTCTCACTGGAATTCGAGCGGGAAGAGTATTGGGTATTGCTCGGCGGATGGCGTATCGGTTGAGTCCCTTTGGTTTGTGTAATGTTATGTCAATTGGTTCACCGTGGTTATGATGATTTGCTTTGGTTCTAGACATCAAACTGTGCGCAGTTGTCGATTTTAAGCATAGTGACTTGAGGTGTTTCATGTGGACCAGTGTTTGGATAGGATCGCGTATTGCAGTGAAGTTATGACCCTTTGGGTTAGATTCGTATGTTCTGTTTCTACGATGTGTGATGGGTTCCCAGTATTGTGTTGTGGTGATACTGGTGAGCTTGCGGTACAACTCTCTCATTTGAGTCATTTTCATGATTTGAGTATGTTCGGATTGTTGCTTATTGGTGCGCGGATTGCACGAGTTGTGGATTTAGTTTGTATTTATGTGTCATGTCACCAGAGTAGTTGTGTTGGATTAGATGAGATCATTGGGATCTATAATGAATACAAACGGATTCAATTTCAGCATGTTGGAAGGATAATATCGATGTTCGGCTTAGAAATTATCATGGTCCTTGCCAAAAGAGAAGTGGCTTTACGAATGGTTAATCTGAGGAATGGTTATTACTTTCTACGTGTTTCATTTATCATTGGCAGTATACGAAAGTGTTAGAATGAGGCTTTATTTGATAAAAGGCTTATTATCGAAATTCGAATGTTTTTAGCAACTGCTGTGATTAGAAGTTATCGCTACAAGTGTTTGAGTTATGTGGTATATCATGTAATTGCACCTGAGGTTGCAGGTATGGGTTATTACATCTTGTTCAGGCTTATTCAGAGCATAAATGTGAGATTCTAATCTTGTAGATGATTTCAGAAGTGGAAATGTGGTTCTAAGGTTTTTGGGCTAGGTTGGATTGCAAAATTTCAGTCACATTGTGTTATCGGACCTATATGAGGTAGGGTGATATGGGATCACCCCCGGGTATGTGCATGGGAAGGTATCACATCGATTTGATGGTTTTCGGAACAACTCTAGGCACATTCGAGGACGAACGTATGTTTAAGTGGGGGAGGATGTAACGACCCGACTGGTTGTTTTGAGCTTTTGCACTTCGCTCGACAGTTCTCAGGCATGACTAGTCTCGTATGATGTATTATAACTTATGTAAATTGTCGGTTTTGATTTTCAGGGTAATCGAAATGAATTTGGAAGAACAGTTCTCAGTTTGAAGCTTAAAATCTTAAATGTTTGACCAAATTTTGACTTGTTAGTATATGATCTCGGATTGAAATTTTTATGATTTGGTTAGCTCTGTAAGGTGATTTGGGACTTAGGAGCGTGATCGGAATGTATTTTGGAGATCCGTGGAAGGTTTAGGCTTGAATTGGCGAATTGGAATTTTGGCATTTTCTGGTTGATAGGTGAGATTTTGATATAGGGGTAAGAATGGAATTCTGGAAGTTGGAGTAGGTCCTTTGTGTCATTTGTGACATGTGTGCAAAATTTCAGGTCATTCGGACGAGGTTTGATAGACTTTTTGATCGAAAGCGAAATTTGAAAGTTTTTGGAGTTCTTTGGCTTGAATCCGTGGTTGATTTGATGTTTTGATGTTGTTTTGAGTGTTCTGAAGGTTGGAACAAGTTTTAATGATGATATGAGATGTGTTGGCATGTTTGGTTGAGGTCCCGAGGCCTCGGGTGAGTTTTGAGGTGGTTTCCGACCATTTGTAGGCCATTTTTAGTTGCTGGTTTTTGGCTTCAGAGGTGTACAATGCGTTAGCATAGATCTGACCGTGTTAGCATAGAGAAAATTTGGAAAAATGGAGTTGTGCTATGCGATCGCGTAAGTCTTCCCGCGATCGCATAGAGTAAAATCTCTGCTGCACTGACCCGATTTTGGAAGCTTATATCTCACAATCTATAAGGAATTTGAAGATGATCCAAAGTGAAAGTTGTAGCCCTTAATGTCTAGTTTTTAAAAAATGAAACCAATTGTAATTTGGAGTTTTGTACAAAAAGATATGACCATTATACTAGAGGTTGTCCAGAAGAGTTGGAGAAGGCTGTTGGAAAAATTTGTTCTACGCGATCGCGGGGGAATGGCGGCGATCACATAGGGTAAAAGAAGGGTTGGAAAATTTTGTGCTTCTCTATCGCATTAGTTTGTCCGCGATAGCATAGAGTAAATGCCTGGGCAGATTATAAAGTACTCTATTTCGAGGATTTTGACCATTTTTGCATTTTTGGAGCTATGGAGCTCGGATTGAAGAGATTTTTGAAGGAATTTTCAGAGGATTGATTGGGGTAAGTGTTCTTCACTCAAATTTGGTTAAATTTCATGATTATGCCTTGATTCTTATCATTTAATTTATGAATTTGGGGTGAACATTGGGGAAAATGAAGGAAGGTTTGGAGAGTTGATTTTGGGGATTTGGATGGCCATTAGATGTCGGATTTTGGTGAATTTGATATGGGTAGACTCGTGAGCGAATGGGTTTTCCATTTTCGTGATTTTTATCAGATTTCGAGACGTGGACCCGGGGGCCGGGTTTGAGCCAATTTCGGAATTTTTGAGTTAATTTGATTATTTTCGCTTGGGCTTTGTTCTTTTCAGTATATTGATGATAATATACTGCTATTGGTTAGATTTGGAGCATTTGGAGGCTGATTTGAGAGGCAAAGTACATCGTGAGCTATAGTTTGGACCGATTTGAGGTAAATAATGATTGTAAATGTTTGCCCTGAGGGTATGAAACCCCGGATTTCACATCATTGTGCTACTTTGAGGTGATGCACACGCTAGATGATGAGCATGGGGTCGTGCACCATTGCGGATTGTGACTTAGTCCGTCCCGTATGACTGTTAAACCGCGTATTAGGTTGAAAACTGTTTGATATCATTGTGTTTGAAAACCATCTGTACACCCCCAGTAAGCGCGGGTACCCAGTGTGAATGATATGATGTCGCCCGAGGGGCTGTTGTTGTTTCATGTTGTTGCCCGAGGGGCTATTCTTGATTCATGTTATGTCCGAGGGGCTAATTGCGAGTGATTGTGAGGTAGCCCGAGGGGCTGGTTCTGTTCATATTATGCCAGAGGGGCGGTTTATGGTACATGTTTTGCTCGAGGGGCTGTTTACATTTTCTATCATTTATAATCACTGTTTTATCACTCGTTTGAAACCATTGAAAGTTATTTTAAAAGAGTTTTATTGAAACTGAGCTTGATTTACGAAGTAAATGATTTGTGTACTGTTTTGGAAAAGATCTACATTTGTTGTAGTATTATGACGTGGTTTACGTGTTTTCTTACTACTCAGCTTTCATTTACTTTTATTACTTACTGAGTTAGCATACTCACATTACTCCCTGCACCTTGTGTGCAGATTTAGGCATTTCTAAATCTGATAGCGGGTGCTGATTGTTTAGTGGCAGAGTCATCGGAGTTAGCGAGGTAGCTGCCCGACGTTCGCAGCACTGCTTTTCTCCCTCTTGTCTTCCTTAGGCTATATTTAGTACATTTTTAGACTCTTTGTTGTATTCAGACCTTAGTAGATGCTTGTGACTTGTGACACCCCAATGTCGGGCTTGTGTATTTATTTTGCACTGTTCATTTAGACTTACATTATGAGATATCTGATTAATTAAAGGCTTAAAATGATTGTTATTGATTAAATAGTTAATTCGGGAGTTGTGTCGGTTGGCCTAGTTTCACGATAGGTTCCATCACGACCGGGTTGGTTTTGGGGTCATGACACAGTCTAAGACGTTTATTTGCAATGCTATTAGTATATTGTAACCCCGCTAATCCAAGATAATTATGGGAACGATTTGAAAGATCCATGTTTGAAGATTTCTCAATTATACCAAACAAACAAACAACATTCGTTATTTGGTCCTAAATCAAATAAATGATATATTACATTCAATGGGACGGAGTGTAAATGAATTTAAACTCATATCAGAAACTTTCACATCTTCTGCATCTTCCACAATAACACAAGAGGCTAGAGACTGTAAGGCCCCGAAAAATTTCGCTAAGCAACCTAGGATTTCGTGGTGCCATGTAGGCTTATTAAACTATGTTATGTGTTATTAACATGGTGGGCATTGTCACACCTCCTTTCGGCCCGCACCCTTTCGGGGTCCGGAGGGAGTTTTTCCAATTAAAGGACAATCGAACGGGATTTGTTTATTTATTTTCAGAGTCTCCACTTGGGAGATTTAGGGTGTCTCAAGCCACCAATTTAATCCTGAATCAAGGAAAAGAGTGACTCTTTATTACAGTCTGTGTACCAGAAATTTGGATAAGGAATTCTGTTAACCCGGGAGAAGGTGTTAGGCATTCCCGAGTTCCGTGGTTCTAGCACGGTCGCTCAACTGTCATATTCGGCTTGTTTATCTGATTTTATACGACTATAAACCTATGTGCCAATTTTAACTTTTTACCACTTTATTATTATTATTTTAAAAGAATGTGAACATTGTTTAAAACACGTCTTTGGATTACGTCACATGAAATGCACCCGCAATCCGGAACACATTTTTATTCAATGTTTTGGGATTTGGATTTGGGTCGCATGAAATGCAAACCCAAGTTTAAGAGAGTAAATTATGAAACACGCGCCTAAAGAGACTATCGTGTTATTATTCTGGGAAGGCCGTGAAATTTGCTAAACGGCCCGTCCCGAAAACTAAGTACTTTAATATATATATTTAACGAGGGCCCCTCAATTTATGTGTTTTGTTTAGCGAGGCTCATCTCATTCGTTATTCTTTTAAAGAATTTGCAACGTCGTGGAAATGCATCTCGAACCACGTCACAATCAATGCACCCGTGATTAAAGACATATTTCAACGTCGTTGAGATTTGGATTTGAGTCACATAAATGCGCACTCGAGTTTAGGGAGGTACATTATTAAATACGCACCTAAAGCGACTAGCGTATTGTTACTTTTGGGGAAGGCCGTAAAATTCGCTAGACGGCCTGTCCCGAATTCTAATTCAAACATACATTTTTGTGAGGGCCCCGCAATCTGTGCGTTTTATTTGGCGAGGCTATCTCATTTTTATTTTAGAAGGATATCCTAAAGCAGCTATATATATATATTTTTTTTTCGTCCGTCTCTAAATGGAAGAAGAAAAGGTCCTACTTTATTTACATGCTTGAAAAGACCATCATTTATTTCACGGATTCAAGCAAACGCAGCCAGAAAATTGCAATCAAACTTTGCGCGAAAGGAAGTTGTTTCATGCCTCATTCTATAAGCCGATACTACTGAAGCTGAAATTATAACCAAATACGGAATTGACAGGCAATACGCATTCAAAAGGGACAAAGTATCTTATAACTAATTTAAACCCACATTGTTAGACGAAATGAACCGTTAGGACTAATTGTTTTCAACTACTTGAAGCTAAGCCAACCTTAATTACTTATGGTTACGAAAGTTACTTAACTTGCTTGTTAACTTGAATAACCTATTGGGTTAGGGTTCTTATTCTTTCTACATTTCTTGAATCGCGCCACAAGTATGTCAAGCCTACGGATTCTATAAATTTAAGGGCGTGAATTCATACTATGTTCCTATCTGATTATATGACACTCGAAGCAAACCGTCAATGACTTTGTCAACTAACTATTGCAATACTAAAGCTGTGGAGACATACTTTCAACTTGAAATTGAAATCAACATGAGATCTACATTATTTCGGATTTTTGCCTTTTAGACAAAATGCTGAGTCAAACAAACTCTAATTATATTGAAAGCTATGGCCAGACAATTACCCATTGAAACAAAATCCAAACAAACCCAGACATGATTCTAATGGAATACATGAACTATTATACACAGCTTAACATTCAATATACAACTAAAGCAAATTCGAAAGAGGCACTTCAACTCTTCATTTCTATACTCAGGTTTCAATTTTCAGCCTACATTGACAGTGTATCAGTTGTGTACCTGAGATTGGAAACAAGAACAAGAAGAGGAAGAAGATCAGCAACAACAGCTGGGCAGCAGTAAGGCAGTAATAACAACAACAACAAGCAAACGGACAACAGTAACACAGCAGTAACAAAACAGCAACAGCAGTTCCACAATAACAGTAGCTCAACGAACAACCAATAACAACTTTAATAGCAATAAAACCAGAAGCAGTCCAGCAGCATACACAAACCCAGAGTACAGTAGTAACCCAGCAGGNGCAGAGAAACCAGAATACCCCACTGAAATAGTAACAACCCAACTAGATAACAGACTTGACAGAAAATAGCTTGACAATCAAACAATCGGACTGAGCAAAACAGCTTGAAAAACCCAACCATATCCAACCAAACAACTGACCAGCCCCCCTTTTTGCCTTTTAAGACTATCAGCTTTTCTCTCTCAATTGCCGACCCCTCATCAGTAAAAAAAATGAGCTCATTTATAGGTCCAAAAGACCTTCACAGGATTGCCTCGTATCCAGACTTTCCTGCCCATACCCTTCAACTTCCCATGCCTAAGTATCTTCTTGATGCAAGTCATTTGGTTCCCCACTATAGCATGATTGTCATATTGATTCATTCAAGAGTCATGGGCTTTATTAGATTATTTATTTTAAACCCATGTTCTTGTGTTGTGCACCCCACTAATACTAGATTAATAGTATTTTTCATTAACCAACTGACAGTCCACTAATCCTAAGCATTTGTCAGTCTTTGACACCCCAAATTAACCCTAAAGTCGCTGATTATTACTGCCTTACCCCACCCTCTTCACATCGTTGAGTCTGTCAGCTATAACCATTTTAATCCTAATTCGAACCTCACCAACTAACAAACTACAACCTATAATTAGTTTACCACTGGATTTAGACAACTATTTAATCAGAATCAGACAGTATGAATCAAGTTGTTGCCTTTCAAGACTGTAAAACACAAACGACAATATGTATCGAATCGACTTTGCGAGTTATAGCGTATACTAATCAGTCGACAACAAAAGAAGGCTAAAACAGAACACACAGGTGATTCATGTGTTTTCGGACAAAACATGGAACTTATGAAACTTAATTATTCGACGACGTTACTCAAATTGACTATACGAACAATTACATGTAACAACCAATCGACAAACAATATAGACTAAACAGGCCACCAAATTATTTCAATT